CAGTGTGGGGACATGGGGACAATGGGGGGACATGGGGACAGCACGGGGACATGGGGACAATGGGGACAATGGGGACATGGGGACATGGGGACAATGGGGACAATGGGGACATGGGGACATGGGGACAATGGGGACAATGGGGACATGGGGACATGGGGACAATGGGGACAATGGGGACATGGGGACATGGGGACAATGGGGACAATGGGGACAATGGGGACAATGGGGACAATGGGGACAGCAGTTTGGGTCCCCACTCCCCGATCCCAGTGGGACTTGGGGTCCCCTCACCCCATTCCCCTCTCCCACAGGATTTGGGGTCCCCTCTCCCCGGGGAATTTTGGGGTCCCCTCTCTGACCACGATTTGGGGTCCCCTCTCCCATCAGGATTTGGGGTCCCCTCACCCCATTCTCCTCTCCCAGAGGATTTTGGGGTCCCCACTCCCCTCTCCCATCAGGATTTGGGGTCCCCTCTCCCACAGGATTTGGGGTCCCCTCTCCCCGGGGAATTTTGGGGTCCCCTCTCTGACCACGATTTGGGGTCCCCTCTCCCATCAGGATTTGGGGTCCCCTCTCCCATCAGGATTTGGGGTCCCCACTCCCCTCTCCCACAGGATTTGGGGTCCCCTCTCCCATCAGGATTTGGGGTCCCCTCTCCCCGGGGGATTTCGGGGTCCCCTCTCCCCTCTCCCCGGGGGATTTTGGGGTCCCCTCACCCCACTCCCGTCTCCCATCAGGATTTTGGGGTCCCCACTCCCCGGGGGATTTCAGGGTCCCCTCTCCCATCAGGATTCGGGGTCCCCTCACCCCAGGGATTTCGGGGTGCCCTCACCCCGGGGGATTTCGGGGTCCCCTCTCCCCGGGGATTTCGGGGTCCCCTCACCCTGGGGGATTTCGGGGTGCCCTCACCCCGGGGATTTCGGGGTCCCCTCACCCCGGGGGATTTCGGGGTGCCCTCTCCCATCAGGATTCGGGGTCCCCTCACCCTGGGGATTTCGGGGTCCCCTCACCCCAGGGATTTCGGGGTCCCCTCTCCCCGGGGATTTCAGGGTCCCCTCTCCCCGGGGGATTTCGGGGTGCCCTCACCCTGGGGATTTCAGGGTCCCCTCACCCCGGGGATTTCGGGGTGCCCTCACCCCTCCATGGTCCCGAAGAGCCACTTGGGTTCCTTGTTGAAGGGCATCACCATCCCGTGGAACCGCGACATCTTGGCGGCGATCTCGCCGGACACGGCCGGGTCCCGCAGCTCCTCCGTGCGCAGCCGCCGGCTCTGGGGGGGGTCAGCGCGGTTTGGGGGTGCCCTGGGGGGGGTCTGGGGGGATCGGGGACACCCCAAAAATCCTACCGGGATGTACTGCTCCAGGCGGCCCTGAGGGAACACCCCGAAAAGCCGCGGCCCCAAGGAGCGCTCGGCCAGGATGGCGAACATGACGCTCTCCAGGACCAGAGAGTCCACGCCCTGTGGGGTGGGAGGTGAGCTGGGGGGGACCCCAAAAATGGGGAGCCCCGAAAATGGGGAGCCCCGAAAATGGGGAGCCCCGAAAATGGGGACCCCCAAAAATGGGGAACCCCGAAAATGGGGACCCTGAGAATGGGGACCCCAAAAATGGGGACCCAAATGGGGAATCTGAAATGGGAACGCTCAAAAATGGGAACTCGAAAATGGGGACATTGAAACTGGAACCCAAATGGGGACCCCGAAAAATGGGGACCCCGAAAATGGGGACCCCAAAAATGGGGAACCCCGAAAATGGGGAGCCCCGAAAATGGGGAGCCCGAAAATGGGGAACCCGAAAATGGGGACTCAAATGGGGAATCTGAAATGGGAACGCTCAAAAATGGGAACCCAAAAATGGGGACATTGAAACTGGAACACAAATGGGGACCCAAAAGTGGGGAGCCCCAAAAATGGGGACCCCCGAAAATGGGGACCCCCGAAAATGGGGAACCCCAAAAATGGGGACCCTGAGAATGGGGAACCCCGAAAATGGGGACCCTGAATTGGGGGACCCCAAAAATGGGGACTCAAATAAATGGGGAATCCGAAACGGGAACTCGAAAATGGGGACATTGAGACTGGAACCCAAATGGGGACCCCAAAAATGGGAACCCCGAAAATGGGGAATCTGAAAATGGGGAACCCCAAAAAAGGAGCCCCGAAAATGGGGACCCCAAAAATGGGGACTCAAATGGGGACCTCAAAAATGGGGACCTTGAAACTGGAACCCAAATGGGGACCCCGAAATGGGAACCCCAAAAATGGGGGACCTCGAAATGGGGACCCCAAAAATGGGGAACCTCAAAAATGGGAACCCAAAAATGGGGAACCCCAAAAATGGGGACCCAAATGGGGACCATGAAATGGGGACCCCAAAAATGGGGAACCCCAAAAACGGGAACCCAAACTGGGACCACAAATAGGGACCCCAAACAGGACCTTTGGGGTTCCCTTGGGATTTGGGGTTCCTGTGGGGTTCCCAGGGGGTTCCCTTGGGATTTGGGGTTCCCAGAAGGTTCCTGGGGGATTCCTTTGGGGTTCCTGTGGTGTTCCCTTGGGATTTGGGGTTCCCTTGGGATTTGGGGTTGCTGTGGGGTTCCTTTGGAGTTCCTGTGGGGTTCCCTTGGGATTTGGGGTTCCCTTGGGATTTGGGGTTGCTGTGGGGTTCCTTTGGAGTTCCTGTGGGGTTCCCTTGGGATTTGGGGTTCCCTTGGGATTTGGGGTTGCTGTGGGGTTCCTTTGGAGTTCCTGTGGGGTTCCCTTGGGATTTGGGGTTCCCTTGGGATTTGGGGTTGCTGTGGGGTTCCTTTGGAGTTCCTGTGGGGTTCCCTTGGGATTTGGGGTTCCCTTGGGATTTGGGGTTGCTGTGGGGTTCCTTTGGAGTTCCTGTGGGGTTCCCTTGGGATTTGGGGTTCCCTTGGGATTTGGGGTTGCTGTGGGGTTCCTTTGGAGTTCCTGTGGGGTTCCCTTGGGATTTGGGGTTCCCTTGGGATTTGGGGTTCCTGTGGGGTTCCCTTGGAGTTCCTATGGGGTTTCCAGGGAGTTTGGGGTTCCTGTGGGGTTCCTTTGGGGTTCCTGTGGGGTTCCCTTGGGATTTGGGGTTCCCTTGGGATTTGGGGTTCCTGTGGGGTTCCCTTGGGGTTCCCTTGGGATTTGGGGTTCCTGTGGGGTTCCCTTGGGATTTGGGGTTCCTGTGGGGTTCCCGGGGGGTTCCCAGGGGATTTGGGGTTCCCAGGGGGGGTTTGGGGTTCCCAGGAGGTTCTGGGGGGGCCCCCAGGGGGTTCTGGAGGGTCCCCAGGGGATTTGGGGTTCCCAGGGGGTTTGGGGGATCCCCAGGGGGTTTGGGGTTCCCAAGGGGGGTTTGGGGTTCCCAGGAGGTTCTGGGGGTTCCCAGGCGATTTGGGGGGTCCCGGGGGG